ATGGTTGCAGAAATTTTACCAGAAGAATGAAAAGATGTTAAGAGTATGCATAGCAGGAAGAGCTAATATAAGCTTGTATCAGCTGGGATAATTCTTGATAAGTTATCCCTGAGGCAACAACACCTAAACTGGGACTGGAAGCATATAAAGAAGCCAGGAGAAGAGGTAGGATGTAAGTAACAGAATGGGTGAAGGCCGAGAGGCAGGAGAGAGTTTGCACTTTTGAAGGAACTGAAAAATGGCTCAGTGTGTCTATATCCATGGTTCTCAAATGTCATTCACGTTAGAATCATCTGGATAGTAGTTAAGTTTCAACATCCAGGCCTTGCCCCAGACCAAACAACTCAAACTCTAGGAGTGGGACTGAGACCTGGGCCGTTTTGCTTCCAAGGCAGTTCCAATGTGCAGGTTGATTTGGGAACAGGTGAACAATAAACGATGTAGTGGATGAAGGAGAAGTAGTGGGAGACTTGACTGGAGGCCTGGAGGTCAGGATAATTATTTTGGACTTTCTTTCTAGGAGCATTGGGAAGGCATCTGAGGGGCTTTAAGCAGGAAAATATGATCTGACTTTTTTTTTTTTCCCCCAAGATCACTCTGGCTGCTGCAATGAGAATGGATTAAAGAGAAGAGCCAACACAGCAGAAAGAGTTGAGAAATTGTTCCAAACGTCTAGGTAAGAGAGAGAGGTAGCTTGGGATAGGATGATGGCAGCAGAGGTGGAGAGACATAGATACGGTTAGGAAATACAGGTAGAATTCATAGGATTTGGTGATTGTTCGATTGTGAGGGGCCAAAGGCGAGGAAACATTATGGATTATTACCCCCCAGTGTCTGACATCAGTAACCGAGAGGTGGTGACAATATTCAATGGCCTTCGGAACAGGGGGCATAGGGCAGAACAGGTCTGGGGTTGCAGGGAGGACATAGTGGATTCAGTTTTGAACATTCTGAGCTTGTGAGACAGTAAAGAGGGAGCTCTAATGTGGGAATGGTTGGCCTTGGCCTGTATGGGTTATGAGTAAAGCCATAGGAGTAGGTGAGAGTGCCTAAGAGAGAAAACCAGGGAGCAGAGAAGGAAGCCAGGATTCTGGAGAGTGCCACCCTTGAGTAGAGGGCAGGGAGCAGAGAGGAGACTGAGAGGAGGACAATCAGCAGGGCACAAATAGCCGAGGGCCAAGTGAGCAGCCAAGAGCATCATGCATGTCATAACTAGGCATTCAGAGGAGAGAAAGATCCCATGGATTAGGCTGGGCTAGGAAATTACTGGTGAAAGTAACTGGGCTTGGATAGATAAATAAAATTCAGTTAGGCAAAGAAGAGAAAATACTGGAGGAGACAGGAAAAGGGAGGAGGTATGAGAAGAGGCAGAGATGAGAGGGATGAGGTGTCAGGGGACATTCATTATGCACAGACCACTGGGATCCATGGAGAAGTAGATAGTGTAAGGTTAGGTTAGCAGGTAGATGGCAACTTTTGGGATTGACTTCTTTAGCTTTCCTCTTGCTTGTCTCTTTAAAATTTTTTAAAATTTATTTTTCAATTACAGTTAACATACAATATTAGTTTCAGGTGTGTGACATAGTGATTAGATATTTATATACCTCCGAAGTGATGACCTAGGTAAGTCTAGTACCTACCTGGCACCATACATGGTTATTACAATGTTACCGACTACTACACTCTCTATGCTGTACTTTCCATCTCCGTGACTATTTTTATAACTGCCAATTTGTACTTCTTAATCCCTTCACCTTTTCCACCCATTCCCCCCCAGTCCCCTTCCATCTGGCGACCTCTCGCTTGTCTCTTTATTTTCCAACCATCTGACTTCTTAATCCGGGCTCTGTGGGAGAGTGGGCATTGCACTGGACAGTTCGGCTTCTTGCTTTGCCACCCCAGAGATGTGTAACCGCAACAAAGCTTTTGCAGTATTTGCAGCAACAGTGTCAAGGTGAACACTGAGGGCAGTCAGCTTTGCTCTGGAGGAGAGAGCATTTATTTTAGTGTTGAATGGATGGCTTGTTTCCTTCTCTTCAACTTCATGCACCTCAAAGAGCCCAGCTGCAGTGCAATAACACTCTGTTTCTTTCCTTGTGCTCTCTTATAAGTAAAAGCAGAAACAGGCTTTTGCCTGAAAGGCAAGATGCCAGTGTTATCTTTCCTGAGTGGGCTCATAAATACAGATTCTTTGGAGAGAGGTGCATATAATCAGCGTACGAGCCAGCATTTTGCATGTGCAATGAACAGATGTGGCTGCATTATTCAGTTTCCCTATTTGACTTCTCTACTAAGATGTACTTCAGAAAATGTGATGTCGATGAACACATCTTCCCAAGTGAAAATAATCCATGCCAAGAGGAGTTTCAAATGTCCCAGTTAACCATTTGTCATGTTGGTTGCTTATTGAATTCTCAGCCCAAAATGTTATGACGTACTATGTCACTTCAAGTTTTCCCACTAAAGATGAAATAATTTCTATTTATATTTCATGTGAAACTGTATTAATATCAAAACGTATCACACTATAGTAGAAAAATGTTGGTTTTAACTCTGCCCTTTATTTTCTTGTTTTTTTTTTTTTGTATCGTGAAATGTGACATTTGTACCAAAAAATGAGTGCATAAAATATATCATATGTGTACAATTTAAAATGGTTATAAAATGAACACTTGTGCAATGGCCACCTGGAGTGGGCACAATCTTGCTAGCACCTGGAACTCTGGTGTGTACTTCCTCCTTCGTAGAGTTACACAGCGTTACTGTTGTGCTAGTGATTTTATTGCTTTTGTTTAGAACTTTACCACCTGTTTTTCCATCCCTAATGATATAGTTTGCTTGTATCACACTATATATATTTTTGTGTCTTTGTGCAAATGCACAAATCCATGGGTGCCTCTTTAAATTTCGTAACCTAGCTGACTCCTTGCCTCACTCTTGTGTATGTAGCTTGGCTCACCTTTTTCACTGCTGTTTACTATTCCATTAGTATGACTATAACACAGCTCATTTATTCATTGTACTGAAGGACAGTTGAGCTGTGTTCTGCTTGTGATGATTTCAAGGCTAATAGGAATATTTCCTTACGTGTCTCCTGAAATACATATGTATGGACTCTCTAGAGTATATACCAAAGAGCATTTTCAAAAAATGATATAGTAGTCCCCCCCTTATCTGCAGGGGATATGTCTCAAATCCCCCAGTAGATGCCTGAGACCATGGATAGGACTGAACCCTACAGACGTCATGTTTTTTCCCCTATGCATACAAACCTTTTCACTGAAAGGAAGCACTTTATGGCTGCTCTTTGGCATATCTGAATTACCAGCATCACTACTCTTGTGCTTTGGGGCCATTATTAAGTAAAATAAAGGTGACTTGAACACACGCACTATGATACCATTACAGTCAATCTGATAACCAAGATGGCTACTAAGTGACTAATGGGAATGGAGTGTATACAGCATGGATACGCTGGACAAGGGGATGACTCATCTCCAGAGTGAGGTGGAGCGAGACAATGTGAGATTTCATCATGCTGCTCAGAACAGCTCCCAGTTTAAAACCGAGAATTGTTTATTTCTGATACTTTCCATTTAATATTTCGGACTGTGGTTAACTGAGGGTGACTGAAACTGGGAAAGTGAGCCAAAGATAATACTACTGTATTTTAAATGCATTCTGGATAGTTAATGACAAAACATGCCAGCTTAATGCAAACATGATTTTATTGTAAATCTTAGCATTTTAGCCATAATGGGAAATATTGTTCATTTTAATATCTATCATTTCTAGACGTGTGGTCAGATACTTTCGCGGGCAAGATTAGCATTCAGGACCCAATGCCACATTGAGCCAACTCTTCTTCCTCCCCCTTCCCCCATGTTCCTTAGTTGTGTGAGTCTTCCCAAGGGAAATAAAAGTGAATAATCTTAAATTGATTTAGTCAGAGGCAGATATTTCTTTGGGATTTTTGTTTTCACCAGCTCTGACTTATCTTGCTTTGATGAAGAGCATGTGAATTATGAGCTCTGGGGAGCCGAGTCTATGCAAATGTCAGGTTAGGCTGTGAAATGTGCATAGTGTGCTCCGTCTCTCTGAATTACCTGAAACACATATCCAAGTGATTACCACACTTAGTATTTCCTTCACATGCTCTGTGATGGATCAAACATTAGAATTAATGATTATTTATTAATAATTATTGGACAGTTTGAGATTTGATATCTTAACTCTATGAGATATTCCAAGTTTTTTTATTAGCTTTTAAAGAAATTATTTATTTATTAAATAATTTAAAAAATTCGATTAGAGTTGATAATTGATGTTATTTTATCTTAGTTTCAAGTGTATAGCATAGTGGTTAGACATTTATATAATTTACTATGTGATCCCCCTGATTAGTCTAGTGCTCACCTGGCACTATACATGGTAATTACAATATTATTGTAATAATAATTATTCCCTATGCTGTACTTCACATCCCCATAACTATTTTGTAATTACCAATTTTTCCATTAGATTTTTGTTGTAAGCATTAGGAAAATTGGGACACACAGCTAGTGATTAATTGGAATTTCACTTTATTGAAGCACTTAGTTTTGTAATAAAGAAGTACCTTTCCAGCATGGTTCAAAAACTGATCAGAATTAACTAGCAAAGAAATATGGGAAATTTATTTAATTGAAAAAGATGTTTTAAATTATAACAACAGATCTAAAATGACTCTTATACTAATTTGTGTATATTGCATTTAATCAGAAATAAAATTGGGAAATTTTTGGTTATACTAATATTTGAATAAAGTTACATAATATGGTTTTTAAAAGCTTAGTTTATAAGAGTGAAACACGCTTCTCCTTTAAATCTAAACTTTATTTAAACTTTATGCAAAATTCTTTATATAACTTTGGTTGCCAAATAAGGCAAGTATTCCAAATAAGGAATACTTATTTGGAATAAGAGATCATTTGTTCTTTACATTGGGTCTCTATTAAAGCTCATTCGGTTTTTTGCTTCAATTTTTTAGAGTTTCTGTCACATCTCACAAAGATTTTCTCCTGGGTTGGGTGCAGTTGTTGGTCATCCATGTTTTCTGAGCAAAATGTTATTCTGAATAGAAAACATAAAGCAAACACAGCATTAAGTTTTAGAAGGAGCTTATTGAAGTGTTTCACCCTTTGTCAAATACCCGATTGATGTGACACATGCTATATATACATATATATATTTTTTAAATTAGATTCTTATGTTGCAAATATTTTCATAACTTCAGAGAAAAGCAAAACCCAAGTCAGTGAAAGCAATCAGTAAAAGGCTTTCTGGAGCCTTGCTCTGAGATGATTTCAGTTCTATAAAAACTAAAAGTCCTAGAGGCAGTCTTCCCTTGTTCTAACCGCTCATCAAAGATTTGAGAGTAACTATTGTTCTTTTTACTACATCACCCTGACTCTAGGGCAAACATTTGCAGTTCCTTCAACTGTTCCTCACAGGTAGGCTTCACTCCTCAGCCTTCTTTTTTGGACTTAAAGGTCCCTGGGCATGAGGCCGTTGTCACCAGCCTCTGTCTGGTTGTCATGTAAGCCCCGCCCCTTCCTCTCATTGGTGCAGACACTGTCCAGCCAAAGAGGTCGTCACATTTGTTTTGGGTCTCTCTTGGAGACTAGTCGATAGACTGATTTCACCAGTTGCTTGGCCTGAGGTGCTATTTCGTGTTACTAACTTCAATTGCATCTATTAGAAAAAAATTAACTGTAGTAGCAGTGAATTCTAGTTTATGGCTTTTTTTTTGGTTTTGTTTTGAATTACTCGTCTTTATTCAAACAAACTTTTTAAATTAAAATAGTGTATAAGCCAGACAAAGACAAATACCTACATGTGAAATCTAAAAAAAAAAAAAAAAGTCAGACTCATAGGAAAAGCATAGAAAAGTGGTTCCCAGGGCCTGGGGAGAGGTGGAAATAGGGCGAGGTTGGTAAAAGGGTACAAACTTTCAGCTATAAGATGAATGAAGTCTAAGGATCTAATGCAAAACATGGTGGCTGTACTTGGTAACTGTATTGTATAAATAAAATTTGCCGAGAGAGTAAACTTAAATATTCTTAATAACGACAAAAAAAGATAAATATGTGAGCTGATGCCTGTGTTAACTAGATAAGGGGGAATCCTTTCATAATCATTTGTATATCAAATCACAAATGCTTTAAATATTTTATAATTTTATTTGTTAAATATACCTCAATAAAGCTGAAATTAAAGTGTTATGAGTAATTTGTAAATGCATCCTTGAAAAATTGAAATGGTAAACAAATAAAGTAAAATATTAAAGATCCTCTTCTCCATTCCCCTTCACCAATGTCACCTCCCTCTGTGCTATCATGGTTTGTTTTCTGTCTTTCCAGATCTATTTTTATGCATTTACACATATATTGATGTTCATATGTGAATATAAAGATTTTTGTAAATATTTTTCTGAAAGTTTTCCTTGTCACCAAATAATGTGCTTGGAGACCTGTCATATGAGTACATATCAATTTAATTTTTTTCACCTGCTGCATGGCATTCTACTGTATGAATATAGCACAATGCATTTAGCTATTTTTCTATTGATGAATATTGAGATTTTGCCAATGGTTTACTATTTACAAATAGTACTGCAACAAACATTTTGTGCACATATATACTTTGTGAACATTTTTAGTATTTCTTTAAGGCAGACACCTAGAAGTAAATTCTGGATCATATTATATTCCAGGACATACATACTATGCATATATAAAATTATGATGATGTAAACTCCGTGAGAGCAAGGCCTTTGTCTCTTCTGTTCACTGTTGTGTATCTAGTGCCCACAACAGTGACTGGCAGAAGGTAGATAGATACTCATCAAATACTAGTTGTTGAATGAAATGCCCCTGCAGAAACTCTGGAATTTACACTCTCACTGCTAGTATATGAGAATGCCCATTTCTCCACACCTTTACCAGATGTTTTCCGTCTTTTAATTTCTGCCAAACCAATGGGTGACTGGAGATAATGCCATTGATTTTTGTTTTGCATTTAGATAATTACTGTGGAAACTGAACATCTCATTGCATTTAGCCAATTGCTGTGAGGCTAATCCTTTCTGCCTTTTCTCTTCATCCCGCAACAGACCCTCTCATTCCTTACTTTGTGCCTTGGAGAGAAAAAGTCTCCTCTCACCGTATTCCTCCTGTGGAGTCACAGAACAAATGACTTAACCAGTTTTTTTGTTCCTTGTAGTCAGCAGAGAGATTATGAGTACAGGTCTAAGTGTTTGCATCCTGGCTCTGGGATTTTGGTTTGTAGAAGGTAATTAAAAATTGGTAATTGTTATTAGTCTCATGAGATATATATTATAATTCCCATTTATTACTAAAGAACTTAGTCTCAGAAAGGTGCAGTTATTCTGAGTTATTCTACCTATTTATTCTATGTAGATGGTAAGCAGTGAGGCCAAAATTAGAGTTTAGGGGCTGGCTGATGTAGAGGCCATCCGGTCCTGTCTAGATTTTTCTTTGCTTTCTGCCTAGCTCTCTGGGAATGTCTCCTGGCCTCCCCAAAGCCTGTTATGGTACAGGTTCAACAGCACCAGCCTGAATGCATGTCTTTCTTCTTAGACTTCCTAGGCCATGCAGTACTAGACTCTTGCTCATTAAAGTGTGGTCCATGGACCAGCAGCATCAGTAGCACCAGGGAGCTTGTTAGAAATACAGAATCTCATGCTCCACTCCAGACCTGCTGAAGTAGAACTGTATTTTAACACAGTTCCCAGAGGATTTATGTGTACATTAAGTCTTGAGAAGTTCTGGGATGGAGCACATTATTAGTTAAATTAAGGCATCTTGTTTTTCTAATTAGGTCCTAGAGTTCCTTATGCCAAGAGCCACAACCGAGATTTTTTTGGGTATCCCCCAATGGTATCTGATATTGCGAAGACAAGTAGGAGGCACTGAGTAGTTACAACTTATAAAAACCTACAAGCCCCATTGTCCTTCCTCTCTTTTCAGCACGTACATCCTGTAGCCATACGGAAGGGTCGATGTGCATATATATTAATGTCCAGCGCCACCACTCTGCTAGATTGCACTGAGGAAATCAGATTAATAGGGCCGAGAACAATGGAGTAAGGAGCTGTCGGAAGCAGTGCATGCGCAACAAATGGACAATGAATCAGACAAACCTAACTCAGATCTGGGCTTGGACAATTACTAGCAATGTCCACAAGCTGTGTAACTTCTGTGAACCTTAGCTTTCAAATCCGCACAGCCAGTACTGCCCATTTCACAGGGTCATTGGGAAGATAAGACGAAATTCATGCTCTAGAGCACTTAGTTCAATGCCCACTGTGCTTTGGAGCTCGGTAAATGCCTTTCCCACCCTTCTCCTCTTTCCTTCTTGAGAACCATGTGAGTAAGCTCTAGTGAGGATGGTTGCAATGTCATTTATACTATCTTTCAAGTCAAGTCACATAGAATTGTCAGGGTGAACAGCCACTATAACTGAGGAATTACCCTCTAGCTGAGAGAATGTGGGGAAGGGTGGTGCTCGGAAGTAGAGCTGATCTCAAGTGCCAAAAAGTTGCATAAGAATGGCTAAGCGTGAAAGAGGAGAGGAGCAGTTTAATTTTCTCAAATTGATCATGTGGATAAAATCTGTTGGTAGACTGCAGAGTTTGCTCTTCGTAATTGCCAGGATTTTGTATCCCAGGAAGATAAGTCTTAGAGAAGGGACTCGGGGGAGACGAGGGGCGCGTTACCCCTTCCTGGCAATGAAACTTGAGGGGTGAAGGAGGAATGTAGTTCAGAGCTGAGAAGCCTACTATTTTCCTTCTCTACTGGGGATAAGCCAAAGAGAGAAATGGGCTTCCCAATAAAGGAAGGTGGGAGAAGAGAGACACATGTCCTGAACACAGGGGAGAAAAGATAGGGAAGGCTCTGTGGGAGAGAGAATTCTCCCTTCATGGAGACCTGCAGAACTGCAGACAAGTATGATTGCCGTGGCAAAGTACGTCGGGCATCTCTTTGCCCGGCTGAGAGGACTGACGCAGCAGCTGGACTGTCCTTTCTTTCCTTTATTTCCTACCCCTTCCCTAACTCCTTCTTGTCCCTGGAGAACTTGGGGCCAAAGGAGAGGTTAAAACACACAGAGCAGCATTTCCTAAGGGTAATCCATTGGTCCACATCAGAATTTCTTAGTAACAAATGTGTGTCCTGGGTCTCTTTACAGACCACAATGAATCAGAAGCTCTGTAGGTGGGATTGGGAATTCTGCATACTTAATAAGCTTCTCAGTGATTCTTCGGCACTCTAAAGTTTGAAAGGTGCCACCACAGAGTGAGATTTTGAGACTGTGATCGTTAAAAGCATTTTTCTGGGTAAACAACAAAAAAGAAATGTCACATCTGGGTCATTGCCACTCAAAGTGTGGTCCTTGGACCAGCAGAACCGACATCACCCGGCGATTCATTCATACGTGGGATTTGAGAAGCATTGGGCCAGTGAGGTGGTTCTCAAACTCCAGAGGCAGGAAGCTATTAACCATGGGCAGTGGGAAGAGGCTAGACTGGGACTCAGAAGACCTGAGTGCAGGTCCTTTTGTCTATGGCTGTGTGAAGTCAGGATGGTCGTTTCATCTTTCTGAGTGTCTGTACTCCATCATTAGGACCTAACAGTGTTCATTTCATAAGATAAATGCAAGTATTAAATTGTGAAAGTGCTGGCATGTGTAGATCTAGATGTTAGGAGGAGGTTAGATAATCACTCACCTTTGCTGTATTTCTCCTGCTTTGACTCTGATGTTCTTTAGAACAAGGCCTGAACTGAGGGGCTCTCTCCCCCATGGGATGATGGTTTGAACCGTGTTCCAGACATTGGTCCACACCGCTCTGTTTTCCTGCTTTAACGTGATCATGACCAGCTCACCAATATCCATATCCAAGGTGATAAGAAAGGAATAGGTTTTATTACTAATAATTCCTTCACTCCTTTGAAGACACAAAGGAAACCAGACACAGTCAGTTTATTTGTAACAGCAAAGTGATGCTTAGACACATTTAGGATGTGTTAGCTTTGCCCGAGTGACTTGAGATGGTCTTTTATGCTATATTTCTCAAACCAGATTTGGACAGATTATTAGTAGAGATAGCAATAGATACGCCAGGATAAGAAAGATTTTACAGACCAGTAATATTGGAAAAATCATACTATTTTCTGAGTTAGCATATTAAAAATGCTCCTAGAGTTCCACGATAAAAATTCTAGTTAACTTTGTTTAGCTCAGGCTTCCTAGATTCTAGGTTAACAAATTAGGGAAACTGCTCCTGCAGAGACAGTGAGGCTCTGGCAATGGCCTCCGCACAGCTATCTGTAGGTCTGATTAACTTCGTAGAGCCAAATCACACTCTTTTCTTCCTAGTGATGCTTTTTTCCTCCCCATCTAAATAGAATCTTCTATTAAGACCACAAAGCATAACAGTAATATAAAACCACATATTAAAAGGATGCACCAATTTAGAGCAAGATTTAATGCATATTCATGGATATCATTACTAGGTTTACTCACTAAACTCCATGACATTAAAAATGTCCAACATTGACAGAACACCTAGATGCCCTTTCCACTATTTAGAACAATTTCCTGGGGAGAGATTTGGGAGAATGTACAGGTAACATTGGTTTTAGGGTGAGACAGATGAATGGAGGGTTCCCTTGAGTGGCTCGTCATAGCACTTCCTGCAGAATGTTGTAGAGCAGCGGTCTCCAAACTTTTTGCACCAGGGACCAGTGCTCCTATGAGAATCTAATGCCTGATGATCTGAAGTGATGCTAGCGCTAGGGAGCGGCTGCAAATAAAGATGAAGCTTCGCTTGCTTGCCTGCTGCTTACGTCCTGCTGTGCGGCCCGGTTCCTAACAGGCCATGGACTGGTACCGGTCCACGGCCTGGGAGTTGGGGACCCCTGTTATAGAGAATCGTTTACCAGTGTCCCCACCCCACTAGGCTGGGAGCACAAGGATAGGGTCCTCTCTACCTCTAGTGCAGAGCACCAATAAACACTTGCTCAGTGACTGTTTCTGTTTGCTGAACAGAGATCAAAGCTTGGGGACAATTTTTGGAAGCTGAGGACTGTCCCCGGAGTTAGTGGAGGGCTAGTGTCACTTTCCAAGAAAAGCCCATGCTGAGAGTCGAAATGCTGAAGAAAAGCAGCTAATGGGCCTTTTCTGACCAGTGAAATTGGGGTGTTTCTGAAGGAGGTGTGAGGCCACTGCTTGTGTTGTGAGCAGGTGTGTAACAGGGAGGACAGATGGGAAGGGCTGGCAGTGCAGGCTAATTGGGATGGGAAATTTGTGCCAAATTGAATGATACCAGTTTTATTTCTGGGCTACTTTTCAGAACTCACTGGAAAGGCACTCAGGGCCTTCCCGTGGACACCTGCTTTGGCCCTCACCACTCCTCCCTGCTCAGATCTACTTTTGTACTGTGACCATGGACTGGGCCGGCTCTGGCTTCCCTCTGCCCCGAACTCATGTCGCAGTGGGCCCATCACATACATAGGTAGCACAAACATAAAGCGATCGGTGAGACTGGGTGAGGCTGAGGAGGGATGGTGACAAGGCGTTGGGCTTGGGTGAATATCCCATCTGACCGGGTGTTTGGGGCAGTCATAACGGGCTGAGAAAAATAAGTTGTGTCTGGCCTAACCTTTGAAAAAATTAAGACAATTAAGCTTGACATCGCCATAGACAGGGCTGCTCCTCATACTCACAGAGTGATGGGAATTTTCTGCATTTCCTCTTTTGTTCCGAGGAGTGACATGGTAAAAGTTGTTTCTCCTGGTTTCTCAATTTGGTTGAAGAACTGCATCTTGAACTGGTAATGATAAACTAGGGGTGGAGGGGGAGGAGAGGAGAGAATGAGAGAAAGAGAATTTAAGCAAGAATTTTTAAAATTAAAAATCTTATATTTTAAACATTTAAAAATGCAGAAGAAAGTGTCCAGATGGATAGAGACCTCAATTTTTTCCCCTTGGGGGCTAGGATTATGAATGCTTTTTCTTTTATTTTTTTTCCTTCTCTATATTTCCTAAATGTTTACAGAAGACATATATTGTGTTTGTAAAAGAATAACAATAAGTATTATCCAATAAAAGAAGGCAGAATAAGAATCTAGTACATCTGGCATCCTCACCCATTCTTAGATGCAATCCTGTTGGATTGTTCCATGTATCTGGTAGGGGTCCCCTTTCATAAATCAAAGGATATGTGTCTTTTAGGCACCTGACAAAGGCAGGAGGACACACTGTCATTTTTCACGTTTGCCTCTGTTCGTTAGGGTCAGTTTTGGGGTGGGGCAGAGCTCCAGCTTACAAAGATGCCCTAATGACCATGTCTGTATATTCTGGGGCAGTTCCTGGACACTAGCTCAGTAGGGAGGCGGGACGTGGGGGTGGGGTGTCTCAAAAAGCACATTTTCCAATGAGATAGCTCTAGTTCTAGTACTTGGGCCTATAAGTTTTCTATCTTATCAAATGTCCAGAATGTCCTTCTACTGGGTTGTTTGGAAGAGAAAAATTTATTTTATTTTATTTTTTTACCTAAATACAGTTTATATTAATAAAAGCAAATTGTTTACTATCAGCCTGCATTGTCACACCAACCAGCAGTGGGATTGTTTTCAAAATTCCCCCACCTCATTCAAAATGGCTAGTGACTGGCTGCTTGGACTTCTTTTTCTTGCTCTCTCCATTTTTTCTAAGTATCTGTAGTGTTTTAGCTCCAAGATTGCAAACAGGTTTAATAAGGCATGTTAAAATGATTGATAGGACTTCTTAGAGCCCTATGTTGAGACAGGTTCTGAGACCTTATCCAGGCTCTTGAGAAGATTGGTGTCTGCCTTGGGCAAAGGATAGGGAATTTATAGTATGCTTGCTGTGTATTTGACTTTTTTGGTTCTAGATAATGATTAATCTGTCAGTCCTGATACAGTGCCTTGCACATAGTAGGTGCTTAATACACATTTGTGGGATGAATGACCTTACAGTTTGCTTGGGAGCATCAGCATATGTATTAACATTTAGCCAGATGGAAATCACCTCTGAGAATGTAAGGCCTGAGTTTAAAGCTTTGTTATATGAGAATTCCTAGTGGAAAGCATAGATGATGAAGCTAGCCACATGATCATCCATCCCATGTAGCCAGCATGCGAAATTCACCATCTTCATGAATCAATCTACTAACTTACAAATGGTACATTTCCACTGGAGGTTGGTAGCTACACACAAACCTAGCAGCTGTAGCTAATGACGTGTTGCCAATACTCCAGCTGCAGGGTGTGCCTGTGTTGCTGGGTTTCTGGGCTATTTACACAATCCTACCCTTTGGCATAAACCGATCTTCCCATCTGGATTTTGTGGTGGATTTGCTCCAGTGCCCTGTACATAATAGGTGCTTAAATCCTCCAGCCTGGAATAAACTAGTTTGATGCTCTCAGGACTATAAAGCTGTGGGTGAGAAATAAGATAAGGGCTGCGACTCAAGGAAGGGTCCCTAAACCCTTGGGTGGCAGTGGTAGAGACAGGGACTCTCACCCCAGAAGCCTCTGGAGAAGTCTTACACTATTCAGAGTCTGTCTAGGGAACTCTGTAACAAACGGGCACTGTCGTAAGTTGAACTGAGGCAAAAAGGAAAGGTCCGTTCAAAGACACAGGCCACAGGCATGAGGGGAAGGTGGTGGGAGCAGCGAACCCGGGGTAACCTCTTAACGAGGAGGCAGGGCCTCTTCCCGAGTACCCAGAGAATAATCATAGCAATCCATTTTAACGCAGCTTAATATATATTAATTGGAAGTGTACTGGTGCTTAGCCCAGTGCTGAAAGCTGTCAGGGCTAAAAAAGTAATAGAGTGTAAATGGTGGTATGCATGATAATAATATTGGCTAATATTTATTTTGTTGAACTGTGCCAAACATTATGTATCTATTATCTCATTTGATCCTTACATCATAATCTTTTAGAGAAGGGGTAACCGAAACACAGAGAGGTTAAGTGACTTTTCCAGGACTAGACAGCTAGTAAGTAGCATAGCTGGGATGTAAGCCCAGGCCACCTGCCTCCAGAACTTGAACTTTTAAAAATGTTTATGCCTGAGACCAAGAGCTTTATATACCCTAAAGTTGAAGTGTGGAAAGAGATTTAAGTTTAAAAATGTCATAACAGAATTATTTAATTAAAAATAAATCAGAAACACCCTAATTCACAAATAGAGAAATGACTATGGACTAATAATGACGATTATGATAACTACCATTTAGCTATTTACTGTGTCCCAGACCTTGAGCTAATAGTTGCACATAAATAAATATTTCTCTTTACAACTTTTAAGATGCCTGCTATATTCTCCCTCCCTCATCATTTTCCAAATGGAGAAGCTGAATTTAAGTAACTTGTCCACTGCCATGAGGCAAAAGCCTGGTGAAGCCGCACTTAGATGTTAGTCTGCTGATTCCGAGCTCATATTCCCATTTACTCTTATGAACTCATTAAAAGATACTTTTGGAATGACTTCAAAGCTTATAAAAGAAGTGGGGAAAAAAACCCACCAAACAACAACCAGGCTATGAAATTGTCTATGTGATACGAGACTAACTATAAAACAGAATGCATAGAAGGAGGGGTACTTACAAAAAAACGTTAGGAGTGCTTATCTCTGGAGAGTGGAGAGAGATAATTTTTATTCTCTTCTCTATGCTTTTCTGCAAGTTCCACATTTTCTACAATAAGCATGTATTCTAATTAGAATCTCGTTGGGAAAAGAAAAGCTTTCAGAAGTATTAAACTTTCAGAAGTTTTGGTCTTGGCCTTGGAGAAGCTTGCAGCTGGGAAGCGCCATCGCTTCTGTGACTCTCCTCGCCCTGTGCCTTGTCTCACAGGCATCGATGTCAATGTCTGATCTTTCTGAGGACAGTCTTGGGGTTCTATTGATGCTTAGATCTCTACAGGTCACAGCACGCACCAGGCATCTAAGGACTGCTTAGGGGCTATTTGTGTGAAAACAAGGCAGGACACATCCTGCAATAAAGACCCTACTTGTGAATAGGACTAATGAGAAAATAGCTTTCTTTTGTTGAGATCCTACTATGCATCAGGCTATGTACTAAGTGTTTTACTTATGTTGTTTTTGTCCTCATAACAAGACTAAATAAGGACAACAAGCTGGTTAGGCTCTGTTTTCTATACCTACCCTGCTATCCAGTCTGCCCGGCTCTGAATGGCAGGGTGTGACCCCACAGCCTACAGCTCCCAGGCTGCCTTGCCAGATGGTTTCTGGTTGAGACTGACGTTGGGGAGGCACCGACAAGAGACCAGAGAGAGGTCAGGATGTTTTTTCTGTGCTCCTTCCCTCTTTGGAGCCTGACCACACAGTAACTGCACCCCATGATTAACTGCTGTCAGTGGCCCCTCCTCCACAACGCCCATTCTCCTGGGCTATTCCCTTCCCTCACTCATTCTGGTCTGTTGTTAGTTTTGGGGTGCATTGATACCCTACGTTTGTTTCCTTAATACCACCTGCCCTCTGTAAGGAGCCCCATCTGCTTTCTTCTGCTGACCAAGGCCAGTGGAGTCCTGTTTTCTGCTGAGACCTAGACAGATAGGGTGTCAGTGATCCTGGAGAGTTACAGATAAGGAAGCAAGAGATTTAGAGCAGAGTCCAAGGTCACCTAGATAGTGAGAAGTAGAGCAGAATTTGAACCTAGGTGTCTGTCTGATTCCTAAAGACCCTTCTTCCCACTGTCTGCTGGGGCTCTGGTTCTGCAAGCTGACTCTGCCCTTTGAACCCAAATGACAGACACTCGGCTCCTGAAGAAATGCTGCAGTCAAAACCTGCTCAAATGAAGCCACTAAGATAAAGTACCTGCCGGCTCCCACCCATGAACATCCATCCTGGGCTATCACTGCTGCAGATTCCTCCCACCTGTCCCCTGAATAGACATTAACCCTTGAGCAGGGATAAATGTTTCCTGTCTCTGCCCTGGAGATGGGCTTTTGTCTTCCTTAGCTCTTAAATTGTGAGTTGGAGGAGATCGATTTCCAGGTCTTAGATGCCATGGTTCCCCAAATCTGGGGGAAGGTGCTTGTGTAAAACCCAGGTCGGCCTGGTTGATCCCAGAGGTCCCTTTAGCTTTCACATCCTCCAAATGAGTATTATCTGTCCCTTTGCAGTGTCTCCCTGGGGCGGGACCTGTACAGGGAGTCAGAACCTCCAAAGATGTGTGAGCCGTGAAGAGCCTGAGTGAGCTCATAAAAGACTGTGGACTTTAGAGGAAACAGAGATGAGTGAATCAGGATGCCCTTATGTCTTATCTGCAGAATGCATAGCACGTTGATAGCGCTAGGAATCCCATATTACCTGTCCTAGGAAAGTCAGTTTTTTAGAGAAATCTTGAAATTAATTTTTCTAAACAGGAAAGAGACTTTGATACTGAGAACTAATTATTTGTTCTTATTTTGAATTTTTCTAAGTGTTTTTCTTAGAAAAATAAAGACAATTTGCTTATTATCCCCCCATCCTCCTTCCAGGATGATGATGCTCTTATAAAGATTAAGGAAAAAAGCGTGACTAATTTTGCTCACTTTACCTTATGACATGTTTAATAAGGATTTTACAAAAATGACTTAGGGAAAATGATTTTGATCCTGTGACTGCAAACAGGCCAGCACAACACATTCCTCAGTTCAGTCAGGAGAAATGACTTTAGGTCTTAAAGATGAAATGCATGAAATAGTCTATTAACCCTGAATGTGATCAGGCAAACCACCTACAGCAGGGATGTGAGGCCTCTGAAGATTCTCCCCACCGGAGTCCTCCCGGGGTTCGGATACCCTAAA